TTAGTCTGGCAAGATTCTGTCCATTAGGTACAAGCAAATAAAGGATTGGACTCAAATATATTTCATTGCCTCATCTTGGGGTTTGAGCTTGATGCAGAAAGACAGCATCCCTTCATCAGTCTGAGAGAATGACTTAAATTTTGGACATCCACAGGGTTCAAACTTCATTCAACTAAACCACATCCTAGCTAACTTTATTTTAGTGTGCCTTCATGTCAGCTCCTGGCAACTAAACAGACCAATCCATGCAGTTTTTAAGCAGAAGTGGTGTGCCTTTGCTTTCTTCTTCCCAAGGTTAACAGAGAAGGACTGGCTCAGAGTAATCCAGATGGATTCATGCCTAAGGAAGGACTAGAATTCCCTGTCTCCCAATTTCTAGTCTGGTGCCTTTAGCCACTACATCAAAGTGGCTCTCAGCTGGCTCTGTGCTCACTGGTGTGGCTCTGTGCTGGCTCTGTGCTCACTTGAGTCAAGTCTCTCTCTCACACACACACATAATTGTTTTGCAGATCATAATGAGGAACATCCGACCTCACTTTATGGGAGTAAAAATGAGCCAATCAAGTAAATCTTGGAAGCAAAGTCTACTTTTACTTCCCCCAGACTTTTAAAGTCATCATCATCTCCTTTTAATGACCCCATAATCCCTTGCAAGGTGGAGTCTGGGCAGCTGAATGGAGCTGAGTGTTTACTGGCTGGATGGCCTTCCTGTCACCAATGTGGAGTTTTTTTCAGCAGATATATTCTCATGCCCAGAAAGAGGAAAATCTGCCTCTACCTAGGATTGAACTCACAGCCTTCTAATTGTGAGGTAAGAGCTCCATCTCTAGGCCACCACACCACTCCCCCCAGACTTTTAAAGTACCCAACACAATTTTTGCACGGCTTTGTGTTTCTGATTCTACAGCCCTTTTACGTTGTGCTGGCGGCTTCAAAGTCCCTGCATTAGTTCTGCTCTCGTGGTAATGTTTTGTAAGCTGCTGCGGGAATTTATACATTGCTCAAACAAAATGAAGTGTGGTTTTGTATGCACATGCAGAGGTAGAGGCGTTTGTGTATTTTTGTGTGTAAGTGGGGAAGTGGGGATAGAGGTGGGAGGGAGGGAGGGAGTGCAGAGAATTCCCCCATCATAAAAAAAGTAATTGCCCAGCTATGCCCATCAACCTCTAGATGTTGTTAAAGCAGGTGTGTAGAATTCTTAATTTCATGCTGCGTCAAATGCAAATGATGGGAGAATGCTGAAGTGCGCTCTCCTATTTCACAGCCCAGCTATTATGAAGGTGCATTTCACTATCTTTAGCTCTTGCCTTGCTAAGTTGGGTGTTTCTTTTCAGGCCTCCTGGGCACAGAAGCTCCTCCCACCTTTCTCATCCACCACATACATCAGGTGAAGCAGAAAAGGGTGGTGTTTCTATAATGGAGACCCTATGAACAGGGGTGTCAAACACAAGGCCCATAGACCAGATCTGTTCCACAATGTGGTCGGATCCGGCCCATGGGGCCGTCCTGGAAAATGTCAGGGGCTGGCCCATGTCACTTTGTCCAGGTCTACCCGATGCGGCTTTGACCGGGTCTACCCAATGTGAAGAGGAAACATCGGGCCAGTGTGGCTTCCCTCTGGTCTATCCAGAACGAAGAGGAAACATGCGAGCAGTTGGGGGAGTGGCGTCAAGCTGGCCATGCCCACCCAGTCAGCCACGCCCCCTCCAGCCCCCTGAGGTCAACCGCAGCCCTGATGCAGCCCTCAAGGGAATTGAGTTCGACACCCCTGGCCTATGAAATCAGGATTTCCTTGTGAGATATCTTAAGGGTAGAGACGAGACGCTGCCTCTTTGCTCTCTCCTGCAGTCTGTCCTTCAGACTCGTGCTGGAACCCACCCTTGGGAACTTCCCTCTTATCAGAATGTGTGCTAGAGCCCAACCCTAAGGACAGGCTCCAGCAGGAGTCCAAAAAACTTGGAAGAGTAAAAGTCTGGTCCCGCTGACCGACCCAGATTGGATCCTGCAACATTATCCTGGGACCCAGCGGGACAGGTATATTTGTCTTCTTCAACCTGCCTCCAGGATCCCTTTCAAGGTGAGAGATACGATCCATAAAGTCGAACAGGCATTGATTCCCCTGCAATTTCTAACTTTGCTACAGATTGGAACAAAATAAGATGACTAACGATGCTGACAAGAGCCTTTGTTTTAAATACTGTCCTCGGGAGATGCTTGTTTAGAGTACAATAACAGAATTTACATGGTCTATGACATTATGGCAAGGAACTGGAGTCCTTGTCCGTGTGAAAAATCTTACGAGGAAATACAAATTTGCAAGGCAGTTCTATCCTAGAACTCTCCTCGAGGGGCGAGTCGCCAACGAACTGCTACAATCAAGAAAAATAGTCTACTCTGAAGTGCATTAAATACACAGGACTGTAACACTCCCTGTGACTATCAGCTTTCCAAGATCACTCTCGGTTATCTAATTGCAAAAGGTTGCTCAGCAGGGAGAAACAGGGCCAACATGATTACAGTGTATTGATCATCACAGCTGAAAAGCTGGCTATTTTGGACTCTTCTCAATCAATCAACTAGCTATTCGCCATCATTTATTTGACCTGCTTTTGATTCCACAAGATCAGAATTCATATCTAAACTTGCTTTCTCTTCCATCCTTCCATATCTTTTTTTCCTTGTGTGTCTAATTATTTTGCTTGTTAGGAGACGTTGTCTCCTTAGTTGCATTGGCAAATTTGCAGCTTGGCAAATGTTTGTTATAATACAGGGAGTTCTTGACATAGAACCAGGGATGGGATTCTACCGGTTTGGACTGGTTCGAGCGAACTGGTAGTTCCGGTGATCATTTGGCTGTTTTATTCACTGGGGCTGCAGTAGAAGGTAAATATTAGAGCTGAAAATGGGCATTTTTCAAACCCTGCGTGCATGCGCAAAGTGCAAGCTCGCAGAACTGGTTGTTACACCAGTTGAATCCCACCACTGTATAGAACCATTTGTTTACTGACTGTTCAAAGTGACAAGAAAGCATTGAACAAAGTAACTTATGATCATTTTTCGACACTTATGATTGTTACAGCATCCCCACAGTTCACAAGATCAAAATTTGGACACTTGGCAAATGACTCATATTTACGATGGTTGCAGTTTCCCAGGGTCACATGATCCCATTTTGCGACCTTCGGACAAACAGTCAATGAGGGAAACCAGAATCACTCAACACTTATGACATTAACTTAACAATTGCAATGATTCACTTAACAACTATGGGCAGAAAGGTTATAAAATGGGGCAGAATTCACTTAATGTATTGCTTAGCAATTGAAATTGTGAGTTGAATTGTTGTAAGTCGAGGACTACCTGTTACAACTAGTAGTTACAGGTAATTACAACTATTACTACAGTAACAAGATTTACAACTATAACTAACAAAATACTACTAGTAATAGTAGTTGTATTACTGTAGAACTACTGTTACAACTATTATTATAGTAATAGTAATTAGTTACAACTAATTACTACTATTAGTAATAGTAGGTAATATTGTTGTACAACAACCACAATAGTTACAACTATTACTACAGTAGCAAGAGAATTTCAAGCCTTGAATGTCCAAAAGAATCCGCAAAGGCCTGTTTAATTTTTTTAAAAGAAGCTCACTGCAAAAAATGGAGTCACCACTTCTCGGCATTTAGTAAATGTTTTGTGTTTATTGAGCATTAC